TGGTTTTAATAGGGGACCCTGTATAAAAATCTTTGAAAGGGTTTAGAGGCCAACCTAGAAGACTGGAAGCGTGTACCCGTAAGGTTTGTACCTGGGTTTTGGGTCCCGAATACCCGAATTACAGGCAATCTTCCATGATTTCCTTGCGGGTGCGAGCTATGGAGTTTCAGGGATCTACCTGGACCCTACAAGCACGCAAAATAGTAGCCCCAAACCTCTAAAAACAACCCAAATGGCCAGGAATCTACATTTTGTTTAAGCTTCCGGGATTTAGTGCTCAGGGTCTAGGGGCGTGAGACTTAAGATGTGCTGCCCCTGGAGTAGGTAGTTGCAGTGTGGTGGCTTATGGTTTTAGGGTTTGGGAACCTTAAAACTTAATGCCTAAACCCTAAGTATCAACACTAAGCCTTAGACCCTAAGCCCTTAACCCCGAACCCTATGGAGGCTTAAGGGAGATCTCAATGCCTGCCATGTTCATAGCAGTATTTCCGAAAAGATACTCCGGTGGTTATAGTAGGGAATAAAGGTTTAGGGTTGAGGGTTTAGGGAATAAGGGAAATCCGATGTAGGGATTTCATAGACACTCTGAATTGGGGGGCAATTCCGCTCCAATCCTGAATATTCAGACTAGACTAGATAGCAGTATAGCAGTTTCTATGTCACTTTAGATCCATATATCGTTCAAGCTCCTACCTGCGACTGTAAACCATTAGCTGCAAACCCTAACCTAGGGTTTAGGTTCTAGGGTGCTTTTTTGTATAGACGTCAGTCCACAAAGTACGGTGCCTTTGCTCAGCCGCTGTCCTCATCATAGGATTCTACCTTGTGCTAGGGGCCATGCATGTCAGAAAAGGTCTAATCGTGGACTGCCCCTCTTCAACCCGAACAGCCTCAAGTTCTCCCAAACCCTAAACCCCAACCCTAACATCATCCATACCTGCCAACCACTACTACTTCCTACATCCTAAGCTCTGGAGTTATAGTCCCCCTTAAGTAGATAAAATATGGCTTTGGGTATGTTATACTAAGATCCCCATATACCACATATTCCATCCACTTAAGGGGGACTATAGGTAGTATGCTCTATCCCCTCACTGACCCTCTTCGTCGGTAAGCCCTCAAGAACCCACCATAGGCTCCTAAGTACTGGTACCTGTGGGGGGCTGGTTTCCCAGTTCCCAAAACTATGCTACGAAGTCCTTGTTTAGCAGCCCTACGTTTTTACTATGTAGATGTTTGGCGCTAGGTCGTAAACCTTACACAACCCTATGTAAACCCTAGAGACCCTTCTTTACACTATATAGCCTTCGGAGCACTGAGGTATTTTCCGGTCTCACAAACATGCTCACGGGCCCACTCGTGAACTCTGCAGTCGACTCGGACAACTTTACGCAGCTGTTGATAGAGGAGATGCACTCACGGTTTAGGTTTAGGAGGTTTCGAGTATTGTGGAAATCTGAGTAAATGCCAGTATTGTGCCTTCATAACCATTACATAGCTACAGCACACTGTGTCCCAAAGCCCTATTCACATGATCTAGTCCGCCGTATACTGATACTGATCTTTCAAAATGGTGCTACAAAGACCAAGTGAACCACAATTGATGCTGTAAGAGTTTTTACTTCAGCATCAGAACTTAGTGTACGGACTCAATACGGAGGATGCTACCAATTTATGCCTGGCCATACGTATTTTAGATGGTGATTTCAGCCGGCGGGGCTTGGCAATCATCAACCGTAGGGCATTTGCCAGATGCCTTTGAACCCTAAACCCCAGTGAACGGGGACCCCAGAAAGGGAACTCCAATAATATAGTAGGAGCATAATGGGAATAGATCTTAACCGGGTCCTCAGATTCCTAGTCTATTCTAGGGTTTAGAGTTTAGGGTGACTGTATGTTTGGGGTTCCCAGTTCTGGGTGCCCATGAAGTCCCTTTATACCTGAGGAAGCTATAGAGATTACAAGCTCTTCCAATGTGTCACTGGTTGGGTGTCGAAGCCCCAAACCCTGAAAACTAGACCCCTAGGACCCTATAGCTTGACCCCACAAATTCCGAAATGTCCACCCCTTAACTCCCAAATTCTAAGACTTCGATTCATAAGAGCCCTAAACCCTAAACTGCGGAAACACCCGCAGGGCGTGGCTATCACCATTCCTCTTCCGGTCCTCTTTTTCATCCTCCAGAGGCAGGAAGCCTCTGAAATTACATGAGCTATAAAGGGTTTAGGGTTTAGGGTCTGAACTCCTGAAAGGGGGGTTCTATAGGTTTTAGGGTTTAGGGTCTAGACTCCTGAAAGGGGGTGTTCTGTAGGGTTTAGGGATTAGGGTTTAGGGTTTTAAACTCTTGAAAGGGGGTTATATAGGGGACTATTATAGGGGTTATTAAGGTGGATACTGGGAGTGTAGACTCTAGTCCCCTAAGCCCTACACCGCATAAACCCTACAGCCCAAACCCTATACCCTAAACTGCATTTAGCCCAAGATGGATTGGCTGCTGGCACGCTTCTTTGATCAGGAGGACGTGGCAGAATTCCGGGCGGAACTAGAGCGCACCTGGAAAAACTGCTGCTGCGGCCAAAGTCAGGTCAACACTGGTTCCGAGATTCGAGTCAATTCTGAGAATGGGGTCCTGCCAGTTCTGGAAGATGGCTCTCCTCTCGTTGGTGTTGGCAATGCTGTTGGATCAGTCGTTGCAACATCTGAAGGCCAAAGCCATCAGCGATGCTGGGTTGAGGTTGTGAGCAATTTTGTTCGGAGTTCCCCTGGCCTTTTTGACAGAGTGTCGAGGGATTTCGTTTGAATACAGTGTCTAGTTTAGGGTGTAGGGTCTGGGGATTTAGGGCTTAGGGAGTAGGGACACAAACCCCAGAACCTTGAACATCCAACCCTAATCCACAAACCTTTCATAATCTTTAATCCTTGAACCCCAAACTCTAAACCCCTAAGCTCTAAACTCCACACTCCAACTCAACCCTTTACCCTACACCCTAGCTAAAAGAATGAAAGCCAGCCCAGGAGGCCATTGCTGTAGATACTTCAAACATGGGTGTTCAGTAAGCCCTTTTAGGTTGTTTTGGGGCCCTAAGTTCTTTATGTAAAGCTAAGCCACTCAAAAAGGGGAGCCTTTTGAGTCGTAGATTACGCGGCCTTCCAGTTCCCGAAGCATCCCAATACCCTAAAACCTAAACCCTAAACCTGCTTAAATAGAATGGAGTCCTTAGGCTTGTCATTGGAGTTTCCTTATGCGATTTATGGTCTGAGGATGGTTAGGGGTTGAGGGGCTCAGGTAATCCCCACTCTAGACCCTAAACCCTAAGCCCCAAACCCTAAAGCCCTAAACCCTCAATTCTAAACCCTTAAACCCCTAAACCCCTGAACCCTAAACCCCTAAACCCTAAACCCTAAATCCCAGACCCTAAACCCTAAACCCTAAACCCTAAACCCCAAACCACCCAACCCCTTCCGTGAGGCGGCGGAGCCAGCGCTCCGAGGCGCGAGCGCCGCTCACGGACGTGGAGCCTTCTCCGCCAGCGGCTGGGTGGAGACTGGGAGTTAGGTAGGGTTTAGGGTTT